GCGGCGAGAGCGCCCGGCCCCGCGCGCCTGGCAGTCCTGGGGGCTCCTCCTGGATGTGCCGCCGGGCCCCCCGCGGGCGCCCTTTCTGGGCGCTGGTCCTTTTCCCAGCAGGTGTGTGGGAGACACTCCCCCAGCCTGTTACGGGCTTTCTCTGTGTTCTCGACGGCTCTTCCTTAGAGACGCTTTAAAACGTAATGGCGTCAGATCTGTGGATCTTTGACTTTCCCATGTCTAGCTGTTTTAAATTAGGCCTGTTTGTCTGTTTGCTGGAGGAGCTGGGGATTGAACCCAGGACCTCTTCTTGCACACTAGGCATAGGTTCACGGAAAAAGTTCATTGGAAGGAAAGCCAGAGGGAGCAGGAGGAAGGTCTGGGCCTTGGGGACCCAGGAGGTCACCCTGGCAGAGGCAGGGCTTGGCTTGGAGGCCAAGGTCAAAGAACAGCAAAGTTTAGACGCGTGGGCGGGGAATCGATGGGATTAAGACAAGACAGGGAGCCCTAAGGGCTGTTGGACGCAGGCAGCAGGGGCAGAGGGCATGGCCCGAACGCCCTGGGGACAGGCTGCCTCTGCGGCCGTCACAGGGACCTGCCGTGTTCCGCTCACACACGCTGCCAGGGGAGTGGGTTCACGGGGCTCTGCGTGGGGCCTCGCCTGGCTGCACTTCTGCTCCCCCTCCGGCTCTCGGGGGGTCTGGGTCAGGCCCCCACCTCCGCTGGGCACCCCCTCCCCAGGGCACCTCTGGGCGCTCTGCATCCACCGTGCGGGAACCCGGCGGGGCAGGCAGCACTCTGGGCGGGACTCACTGGCGAGGTGGCCAAGCTCCGCGCGGAGCCGGTTCCCCATCTCCAGGAGCTGCTCCTTCTCCTGGCGCAGCCGCAGGATTTTCCTGGCTGCCTCCTTGAGTTTCCTCTGCAGGAAAACGGCCTTCGGGGTCTGCGCCCCCTGGTCCTCGGTCCCCGTGGGTCCTGCGTCTCTGCCCTGTGAACAAACCCCTGCATCAGTCAGTGTCGGACAAGCCCTCAGCTGGAAAAGGGGACACGAGTGTGGCCTGCAGACGGTGGGGCTGCCGCCTGACTGCTGTCCCGGAACTGGCACCACGGGGGACGCCCCTCCAGCACGACAGACAAGAGGGACGAGGGTTTCCCGCTCCAGCAGCGAGACAGAGACCCGCCAGGCATCTGGGGCCGTCTCTCTCACGGGGGTGAGGAAGGCCCTGGAGTCTCCCAGGCCAAGGCCTGTTGCCCTCAGTCACTCCGTGTGCCCTGCTCCAGCGAAGAGGAGCCAGTGGGCACCCGGGCCTGGCCTCCAGTGGTGCCCTCGGACCGTGGGAGCTACACACATGATCGGACCCCTTCGCGGGGCCCCGTGGTCACCAGCCACCCGTGTGCTGCCTTCCTGGTGTGGAAGGGGGCTGACAGAGACCCTGCAGGAGGCCTGTGCTGGGACCCCAGCCTCCCTCTCCTCTTCCCGCCCCGGGTCCTTCTGGCCTTGCTCACTCAGCGCCCTGCCTTCTCTCGGCTCCATGTCTCTATCACCGTCCCCAGCTGCAGGCCCGCCCAGGGTTCCCACCACCCTGACCCTGACAAAGGTGTAGAGAGAAAGCAAAGGAGGCTGAGGGAGGGAGCGGCAGTCTCCTGGGGCCTTAGCTTCTAGGCCTGGGGCTGCCCTGGGCCAACACGGAGGCCTGAGCCCCCTCGCTGGGCAGCACTGTGCGGCCCCCTGTCCCACTAGTGCCCCCACTACCCCAGCCTGGACCTGAGGTCCAACCGTGTGGCTCCTACGCAGATGCGAGGTCACACCCGCAGGTGTGAGGGGCCTTTGGAACGGGGTGGGGTGTCGGGGAGACAGGGAAAAGGAGACTTTGTGTGGCAGCCTCTGGGCTGGGCGGGGGCCCAAGAGAGCCTGGTGTCCGAGGCCCAGGGCCCCGAGGGAAGAAGGTGGCCTACTTAGGCTTGGCCACTCCGACACCTGTGAAAAGCCACACTGCGCAGATCCGGCCCGCAAGCTGGCGCCTAACGAGGAACCGGCTCTGTGCCCTTGGAACAGGCCAGCACGCCCTGTCCCGGCCCCGCTTCCTGGTGTCCCTTCCAGGGCTGGCAGGCGCATGTGCCCTCGGGTGGCCTGGGAGCCAAAGTGACAGCATGACGCTGCTTCCCACGTGCCTGACTGCGGCATGAAGGGCGTGGAGGTGACACTGCACGGCGGGGGCTCAGAGGAAGTCCTCCGCCCGCAGCCCCGGGCCGGCTGGCTCAGGGGGTCCAGGGAACAGGACGTGAGCTGGGCCGCAGGCTGGCAGCGTCTCGGAGGTGTGGGTTCACATACAGGGCTGCACAAGCCCCGGTGGCTGAGCTGATCCCCCGGGAACGCCTCCCAGCTTCCAGGTGTGTAGCCTGGCTCTGGGGGACTGGCCAGGACACCCTCTCTCCAGGGCTGATCCTCTACAAGGACACGCTGTTGGGGTCTCGTGTTATTTTAAGTCAAGAAAGGGCAATACTGAAAACAGAAACTCTGCAAACCTCAGAACACCCAGAGATTGGAAAATCCCAAAAGCAGGCGCCCCTGCCCCCACCCCAGAGTCAGCCCGGACAGAGCCAAGGAGCTGGGACTGTCCAGGACGGGGCTGGGCTGGGGGCTGAGCCCTGGTCTTGACGGCTCAGGTTCTGATCACCGTGGCCACACGGGGGCGGGGGCTGCAGGCAGGGGATCCACCTCTCTCCAGCTCAGTTCCTGGCAAGATGAAACCTGTTCTGATGACTCCAGAAGCTCCCCGGCATGGACAAGATGCTCATGATGGCCTGAGACACCCAGGAGCTTCTGAACCGCTGTGTTTAGGGTCTGGGGTCCCACCCTGTCCGCCCGCCCTCCCTCCCTCCCTCCCCTGCGCTGAGCGCTGGTCCCGCATCTCAGCCAGAGGGAAACGTCTGCGAGGCGGAGGAAAAGCTGAGGGGTCCTAACGATGATTCTGTTCCCAAAGGGAGGTGCGGAGGGAGTGGGCTCCAGGGAGAAGAGAGGCGGGAGGCCAGGCCAAGGCCTGGGGAGAGGCAGCAGGTCCCGAGCTTCCAGGCAGAGCCAGCGGGAGGGCTCGCCAGCCAATACTGCCCCCCAGTGGTGGGGGAGGCCCGGGGACCTGGCAGCGCGGCCCGCAGGAGGGCGGGGCCTGAGTGCGCACCAGGCCGAGGGACACCGGGCTGAGAAACAGGAGGCTGCAGCCGCCTGCCCACCAAGGTCTCCTGTGACTATGGGGAGCTCCTGGGGTCAGCAGGTCCCTGACTTTCTCGGTGGGGGACGGGCCTCGTGGGGCAGGGTCTCAGGCCCGCAGAGAAGCCGCACCCCGCCACGTACATTCCTCCCTGAGACACTGGAGGGTAAGCTGGAGGCATCGTGCGCCTTTACACCTGAGCACGTCCACGTGCGCCACCCAAAAGCAAGCACATCTTCACAGTAACCTTTGACCCGAACCAGAAGCTTCCCAGGGACGTGGTGGTGTGATCTTAAAGCAAAGCCCACGGGCACCTGCCCAGCAGTCCAGCAAGCATCCTTCCTGGTGCCCTCAGTCCCCCAGCAGGACGGTCTGTGGGTTTCAGTGTGTCCTGGGTCTGGGCCTGTCTGAAGCTTTGTGCTTAGACTCTGGAGTGAGGCTGTGTCCGTCTGTCCTGCACTGGCAGTGGAAGCGGATTCCTTGGTTGGGGGTGGTCCACAGGCTACCCTACTGGAAAGGCACTGTTTTCCTTTCGCGACTGAGAATTTGGGGGTAGGGGTGGGTGCAGATTGGGGCAGAGCGTGTGCTGAGCATGCACGAGGTCCTTGGTGCATCCCCAGCACCTCCGTGAAAACAAATGTGCGGGTGCCACCACTCAAACAGCTTGTCCAGCATCCACTGAGGCCTTCCCACTGCCCATCTGCAGTCGACCTGGTCAGTGAGGAAGGGCTTTCTGTCCTCCTTTCCTTCCTTGTCCGCACACCTGCACCGGCGTGACTGATTCCCTGTCTTACTCAATGCACTGTGACCCTGGCTCTGGGACTGATGGTCCTGGAACAGGTCAGTGGGAGCCCTCTACCCCTGCAGGCTGGTTCCTGCCTCCTTGTCATGTCTCCATGGTGGAATCAGCCATGTACCCTGGTTACTCTCAGCAGAGCCAGAAGTTCAGGATCCTGCTCCGGGCCCAGGGAGTGCTCACCGCCGGCACAGACAGCCCCTCGGGCGCCAGTGGGCAGAGCCGGGTGTGTGAACACCTCCTTCTTTCTTAACCCCAGCTTTCACTCTGGAGACTCCAACCCCAGCCCACGGGGCATCCTGGCCCTCCTGACCGCCTCGCCCGGCCCTGGAAGCCCAGAGCCCGCACCCTCTGCTCCGGGCACCACACCCGCTGGGCTGTGATGGCTGGGAGCAGGGGTGGGTCTGGGCCAAGTGGAAGGTTTTCTGTGCCTCCAGTTTCTCACCCAGGAGAGACCCACTAAAATCACAGGATGGTGAGACCTGGAAGGGGCGTGGGACCCTGGTAGTCGTGCAGAAACTAAGGCCCCAGAGCTCGCTCTCCCACCCACCCTGGGACAGCAATGCGGCCTCACGCTGCTTCAGCTCCCAGCCCTGCTGCCCTGGGATTCAACACCTGGGGTTTAACTTCCTCTCACGTGCACAGTCTCGTCCCTCTTCGGGACTGGTGAGTTACGGGAGGGCCCCGGTGGCACCGGGAGAAGCGGCGGCATCGCTGCTGGCACCTGCTACCCAGCCGGGCCCAGGGCCCCTGGACTTACCCTGAGTGACAGGGAGGTCTGGGGTCCTGGGAGACAGTACAGAGGGTTTGGTGCCCCCTCCCCAACGCCTGCCTGTCCCCCGCAGCAGGCACTCCTCACACGTGCACCCCACCACGGCTCGGCTGGCCCCCTTGTGTTCCTTGAGCCAGAGAGGGCTGTCGGCTGCCTCTCCCATCCAAGTCCTCCCAGCCCCTGACAGTAGGTCCCGGAGCCCTGGCGCTCCTGTGTCCCTAAGTATCGCTCTCAAAGCCTGGCCTGTGGGCCGAGAGCCCCTGGGACACACGTGACCCAAGCTGCTTCTGCCTGAGGACTCCCAGCATCTTCCAGACGTCACTTTACTGCCCTGAAACCTTCCGTCATGAGCAGGTCACTGTCTGCAAGCCCAAGGTAACACAGGTAACGCGGGTGATCACAGGCAGCTGTGGGTCAGCCCAGGTGGCACATGCAGTCGCAGGGGGCAGACATGCAGGTGACCGCAGGTGTCTGATTGTCTCAGGGGGCGGGTCCGGATGCCGGTCTTCACAGCATTTCCACCCGGTGCACGCTGGGCGGGAAGGTGGCCCAGGTATATGTGCGACCATGATGTTCCCTCCAGGGACCCTGGCTCACCCCAGCCACGAGGCTGCCCTGGCACTAGGTGCGGGCCCAGGACAGGAGAGTCCGGGGCGCCCATGCCAGGGGGCCGGGCCTCCCCTGCTCCAGGCAGAAGCTCACCTTGGAGCCCACCCACGAGGAGCCTCTGGAAGCGAGAGCCACAGCCTGGCATCCGTCTCAGGGCTTCACAGGCCCTCGAAGTGCACAGTCGAGGACTCTTGTGTCAGAGGAAACAGAAGAGCCCCGTTCACACGTGCAGGCTTCCTGCCTGGCTTTAAATGGAGAGACTTCCGAGACTGGAGGGCAAGCGTGTCTGTCCGCCCCCACGCAGAGCCAGGTGGGGAAGGAGAGGGAGAGCGGGGCAGGCCCACCGCCGGCCGACCTGTCCTCGAGACCAGCCCCGCTCGGGACGCAGTGAGCCCACAGGGGACGAACCCCGGGCCGGGCCGGCGGGAACGCGGG